TTCCGAGTAGTGAGTGGTGGTAGCTGAGCACCATCTAGTTCTTCTGGTCTTGAACTGCCAACCTTTTGGTTAGCAGCTGAGCTCTTAACCACTGTGCCACCAAATCAAAATAACAATGAGATAACATCTCTCCCCAGCAGTAATGGCCATGATTTTAAAAAAAAACAAGAAAATAACAAATGCTGGTGAGGGTGTGGAGAGATCTGAACTCTCATACACTGTTGGTGGGATTGTAAAATGGTACAACCGCTGTGAAAAACAGTATGGCGCTTCCTTAAAAAGTTAGAAATAGATACTTTATGATCCAGCCGTCCCACTCCTAGGTGTACATCCTAGAGAAATAAGATCCATGACACAGATAGATAATATGCACACCCATGTTTGTCACAGCATCATTCACAATAGCAAAAAGATGGAAACAACCTAAGTGCTCATCAATAGATGAATAGATAAACAAACTATGGTACATATTACTGTAGGGGAAAACCATCACAAAATTTAGTAAAGCAAAAAGAAAGTTTTATTCAGCATATATTCAAAGGGGCAAAAGTAGGAAACGGACAAGCATGCTGCCAGAGCCATGTCTGCCCGAGTCCAAGGAAATATCACGGAACAGACAAAAGTGGGAAAACGGACAAGCATGCTACTAGAGCCATGTCTGCCCAAGTCCAAAGAATATTACAGAATAGGCAAGAATGGGAAAATGGAGAAGCATGCTGCCACAGCCATGTCTGCCGGAGTCCAAGGAAACATTACGGAGCCATCAGTATATATTAACATTACAAATGGGCAAAACCATTGAAAGCTTTATCTTTTCACAGATTGGCTAGAAATTGTGATCCTACATTTTGAATTGTTTTTCTTAATAATCATTGGTACAGGTTTCAGTAAGGACAGTCAGGAGGGTCTTCATTGGTCCAGCAAATTTCTATTCACTAAATGCTAATAGAAAAGGATAAGAGTGGAAAGTCTTTTGTGTTCTGTTCGATTGGCTTTATGTGAAAGTTCCCCTGAAAGATATTTTCCAAGATTATCTTAGCTATTGTCTTTATACCTCAGCGTCCAGTTGATGTGTCCTTGTGAGTCCTTGTGAGCCCAGCTCCAGCTGGGTCACATTCTCTATGCTCAAGGACAGGGAATAATAACTCCAATATTATTTCCTAAATCAATATACACAATGAAATACTACACAATGATAAAGAACAATGATGAATCTGCGAAACATCTTACAACGCGGATGAATCTGGAGGGCATTTTGCTGAGTGAAATAAGTCAATCACAAAAGGACAAATATTGTACGAGACTACTATTACAAAAAGTCAAGAAAATTTTCACACAAGCAGTGCGGTGAATTACTTAATGTGGCCCTTATAGCCATAGTCTTTGTAACTCCCACCAAATGACTAGGTGGGACTAAGCAGGTGAGGTACTTGTGACCCACCAAGGTGATTGGACAGCTTGTTAATAATGTAAATAAGGTGCATGGCACCCTTGTGGTGGTGGGATTGTGCTAATAGGGTGTTTGGAACCTCAACAACGAGATTGGTCAATTTTGCCATCCTGTAAATCTTAAAATGAGCCATCCCAGAGGCAGGAAGGGAGGATCTCCCCATCACCAAAAAAGAAGAGCCAGGAGTGGAGCGCATCCTTTGGACCCAGGATACCTATACTGAGGAGCTCGAGAACCAGGAGACAGAGAGAGAGAGAGAACTGTAACACCAAAGACAGTGAGAAACGCTGGCAGAGAACAAGTAGTAGCAGAGGCAAGAGACCGGCAGGAGCCCGGCAGGACATGGTGTGGTGGGTTTCTCTGCCCAAGGAGTGAGAAAGCTGAGCACCTTCAGGCAGGAGGCTTGCTGGCAGAGTAGGGTGCCTTCAGGCACTTGGTGGAGGTTGGTTTGCAGGCCCAGGGAGCTAGAGCTGAGCGCCTTCGGACATGAGGCTTACTGTTGAAGTGGGGTTGGTGGAGTAGGGTGCCTTTCGGCACTTATCGTCAGAGCTAAAAGAGCTTTGCAACACTTGTCTGAGCAGGACAGAGGCCTGTGGATGGGCCGTTCCCAGGGGCCACAGAGAGGTGTGCCTGCTGGCATGGCTGAGAAGAGGCTGTCCTAATCAAAGAACTGTATCCTGAGCATTCCTGAACCTGAATTGTAACCTGTTACTTCCCTAATAAACCCAACAACTGTGAGTATGGTCTGTGAGTTTTGTGTGGCCATTGCAATGAATTATCAAACCCAGTAGAGAAGGAGAGAGTGATGTGGGAGGGAAGGTTGGTGTTAGAACTGGTAAAAATGTTGGAGAGGTGGTATGTCTGACCTCTGCTTCATAGCAATCAGCCTTTGGCTGTTGATCTTGATTCTCCTTTCCCCTTATGAAGTTAAAGGAGGTCAGATGCCTCCATCATATAATTTTTACAACACAGAAAGTATCTTAGTCATCTATTGCTGCTATAACAGAAATACCACAAGTGGATAGCTTCAACAAAGAGAAATTTATTCTCTCACAGTCTAGTAGGTTACAAGTCCAAATTCAGGGTGCCAGCTCCAGGGGAAGGCTTTCTCTGTTGGCTCTGGAGGAAGGTCCTTGTCATCGGTCTTCCCTTGTTCTGGGAGCATCTCAGCACAGGAACCTCAGGTCCAAAGGACGCACTCTGCTCCTGGCTCTGCTTTCTTGGTGGTATGAGGTCCCCAACTCTCTGCTTGCTTCCCTTTCCTTTTATCTCTTATAAGATAAAAGGTAAGTGCAGGCCACAACCCAGGGAAACTCCCGTTACAATGGATCAGGGATGTGACCTTAATAAGAGTGTTACAATCCCACCTGAATCCTTTTTAACATAAAATTATAATCAAAAATGGAAGACAACCACACAATACTGGGAATCATGGCCCAGCTAAATTGATACACACATTTTTGGGGGGACAGAATTCAATCCATGACAGAAAGAAACATTCTTTGATGGTTACCAGCAATGGGAGGGAGAGGCAGGGAAAAAATCACTAACTAGACAGTAGAAAGGTATTAACTTGGGTGAAGGGAAAGGCAATACACAATAAAGGGGAATGTCAGCACAACATGACCAAGGCAAAGGAAGACACTGGGAGGAACGCAAGAGTAAAAGGAAACAACAATAAATACTATTACATACACAATCCTGCAATAACAGTAATAATAATTTACGAGTAGATGCATAGGTAGATATACAAGCCGAACAGGTGTGGAATGGTATATGGGGGTATACCCAGGAGCATATATAGGTTGGGCAGAAGATATTTCTACATACATATTTGTATGTGCTGCAAATATATCCAGGTATATAGTAGATCACACAGGGGGCACAGTTATGAAAACTTCTTAGCCATAACGAAACACCTTGAGGGACTGGTCACTGGACTTGAGGGCTTAGGACCATTTTCTTGGGGGTTATCTAGGTTAACTGGCATAATATAGTCCATAAAGACAATGTTTTACATCCTACTATAGTGAGTAGCATCGGGGGTCTTAAAAGCTTGTGAGCAAGCATCTGAGATACAACTATTGGTCTCTTTCTGTCCAGAGCAAAGAAGAGTGAAGAAAATCAAAGTCTCAAGGAAATAGTTAGTCCAAAGGACTAATGGACCCCACGAAGCCCAGCTTCCACTAGCCTGAGACCAGACGAACTAGATGATGCCCGGCTACTACTACCTACCACTCTGATCGGGATCACGATAGGAGATCCTGGACAGAGTGGAAGAAATACGGAAAACAAATTTCGAATTAATAAAAAAGACCAGACTTCCTGGTCTGATAGAGACTGATGGAACCCCGAGACTATGGCTCTTAGACACTCTTCAAACCTGGAACTGAACCCACTCCTGGAGATCACCTTTCAGCCAAACAATAGACAGGCATATAAAGTGAACAGTAACACCTGTGAGGAACGTGCTCCTCAGAACAATCAACCATATGAGACCAAAAGGGCAGCAATTGCCCAAAAACAAAGTTCAGGAGGCAGGAAGGGGCGGGAAAGGTGGGTGAATGGAAATGGGGAAACCAGAGATAAAGGGGGTAGAGTGCTGTCACCTTGAGGGGATTACAACTAATGTCACAAAACAAAATGTGTACAAATAGTTGAATGGGAAACTAATTTGCTTTGTAAAATTTCAACCAAAACCACAATAAAATGTTCCAAAAAAAAAAAAAAAAGAGAAAAGCCTATTGTTGCCTTGAGGGTTTGCATTTCTCTTGTCCTCCCAACCTCATGATTCATTTTGTTAACTCCCACTAAGCCTTCCTGAATCAAACATCACCTCAGAGACGTCTTTCCTGATCCCCGAATTTAAACTAGATTCTCTTGCTATTCTGTGTCTTAACACCTTGTGCTTTTCCTTCATAGTTTTACCACAACTGGTAAGTATGTACATGTATTTATTTGTTTCCGATTTCCCGCACTAGATTGTAAACTCAAGGAGGGCAGAGGCATGATTACTCTTGAACGTTGCTGTCCCCTCACCCACTTAGGATAGTGGGTGTGCTCCATAGCACATAGCAGGTGCTCAATAAATATTTGAGTGAAATGAATGAGTGAATGTGTTCAGTGCTTGAGAACTCTGCCCTGTTTATTTGAAGTAGCTTTGAATCGCTGCTTAAAATCTGGATAAATGCTATTAAAGTTAGGAGTGCAGGTAGATGCCTCAGGTATTTCAGTTCATCGGCTTTTCTTCAAGCCTCACCTGCCATTCTCCACCCTGGAACATGCAGATTTCCGACAATCCAAGGAACCTGTGCTCTGGGTAATCAGGCATCATGCAATATCCCTAACAATCACAGACCAAATAATGAGAAGGATTGTGACAACATGAACTCTAAACGTCGCCACGGTTGGGTCCCAGCCCAGAATATAACGCGGGTGGCTCATTAGCTCCACTAAGGCCTGTAAAGTGCACCCCGCTGAGACCTGCGGGCTCCAACACCGCGGGTTGGGAACCTCAGGTTACCACCCCTACTCGAGTCTACCGTACAGCATGGCAGCTCCCAAAGCCATCGCCCAGGACAGTATCTTCCGTACAACATGGCTGCGTACGGAACGTGAAACGCACACCCTCTCGCCCAACTACCGGAAGTTTCCATTTGAAACGGAGGCGGCCGACGCGGTCGGCTGTGCGGCAGTTGCTTCCGCGCGTCTTTTGAACGAGATCCAGGAGGACTGCAGGCGGGAGCAGCGAGCTCCTGGGTTCGCGCTCTCCCGGGACGAGGGATTGGGCTGGATGTGGGGGGCGGACGGAATGGGCTGGTTAACTCCCTCTCGTCCTTCCTGAACCAAAGATACTAGCCTTTTGGCTGGGATGAAGTGTAAAGATCACCTCTAAGAGGTCTTCCCTTTTCCGACCTCTCCCCAGAGCTGGGGCTGGCCAGTTCGCGCCCTCCGCAAACCCTCCGCCTGCTTGGGCGTCCGGCTGCCGGCTAGTGCGACCCGGTTGGCGGGCCTGCTGGGGTGGGAGGTCCTGGCAGCGGGCGGTGCGCCCCGTGGCCCAGCGCTGGGTAGATGACATTACCTTTGCATCCTCCAGGGTCCATCCGTGCCGCCTTGTTACGATGACCAGCGTAGTTAAGACAGTGTACACTCTGCAGCCCCCCTCTATGATGAGCGGCGGCCTGCCCGCAGGTGGGTGTCCAACCTTGGTTCCCCCTCCGGTCGCTGCAGACCGGCCTGTAGTGACAGGGGAGTGCGCGTAGGGGGATCAGATCTATGTCCGGAAATGGGGGACACGGGGCATTACGTCGGCTGTAGCAACCTGTTCGTAAAACCAGGCTTTTTAGGTTTATGGTGGGAGTTAAGGGAAGGGCCAAGTGGTGGGACCTTAGACCTGCTCTGCTGCCCTCCAAAACCTAACGGGGCTGCATTCCACCAATTAGATTCAGGTTTCTGGTTGCGCTACACTGTTATTCCCAGTAAACCAGGAATCCTCTGTTCACGAGTTATCACTTTTATTTCCAGAGTAGCCTGTGTTGAGGAACTGGATTGTCGGGGTCATTTGGGAAGTAGGATACTTGGTGGGGGAGGCACTAGATTGTTCGCACCACATCTTGTGGGAGCCCTGGTGGCGCAGTGGTTACTCGTATGTCTGCTGACCCGAAAGTTGGCAGTTCGAATCCACCAGCCGCTCCTTGGGAACTCTGTGCAGCAGTTCTGCTGTGTCCTGTAGGGTCGTCATGCGTTTGAATCGACTCGATGGCAACAGGTTGGTTTGTTTGGCTTGTTTTTTCACATTGACACCTTCACAGTGTCTTTCATGTAAGTATTTGTTCAATAAATGTTTGTTAACTGAAACGAAAGAGCAGTCAGCCTAGCCAGAATATTTGAGAATACTTGCAGAAGAGAGAGAGGATTAAAAGCAACCAATTGCTTTGCCATTTTGCTTTGTTACCTTGCTTGCGGTGGAAAGTCATTGTGTAGGATCTGAACTGTCGGCTGCCTGATGTAGAGATTATAGCACAGAATCAGCTTCAGGCACTAGAAAAGTGCAGTGGGAGATTAAGGAGCAGCTATTTCGGAGGCTTTCCCCGATGACTCGTTGCAGCTGGTTGACCAGCAGCAGTAGGGTTCATCGATCTGTGGGGTAAACAGGCTTGTCTCCAAGGGCTTAACGGCGCTTGGTGCCTCAGAACACCTGGACGTTAATCCAGGCCTCAGCAAGGGACTGAGGAGTTGCTGGAAAAACTGGAAGGCCAAGCCTGCTGACCTAGCTCTGCTGTCTTTCCCCAGTTTGCAGTACCCCTTGTTCAGTGGGAGTGACTAGCGCTCCCCAACCAAACTGGAAGTTTTCATGTCTTTACTTTCTAACCTTGTCCCCCGCTTGATGGTCGTACATAACCTCAATAGTTTTAAAATTTTAGGCTGCCTCCCAGTTTTTTTCTTCCAGTTTTGGGTGTGGATTAGTTGTTTGAGTTTGAGTTTTTGGAGCAGGTAATATACGCACCTGTAAAAAAATTATGTTAGAAAAACGATATAAAGTGAGAAACAAGTCTCCTTCCCTTCTGTGTGAATAATAGCCAACGTAAGGCTAATTTCCAAAATGTGAAGATAATTCCCATCCCCGCTTTCCCACTTCATCTTTCCAACACCAGGCACCCACGTGGCACTTTCTGTCTCTGACCGTAACCACTCAAGAGTTGGGTCTCCACAAATTAGGACTCTGTCTTTCCATCGCCTGCTAGTTGGCAAACACCAGCCTCTCTGCTGGCTCTCACTAACCCCCCACTAACCCTCATAAGTTTGTTCATTCTCTAGAATGGCTCACGAAATTCACGGAGACTATTACCTATAATTACAGTTACCCATTTATTTTGGTTCATTTTTTTTTAAATTGTGCTTTAAGTGAAAGTTTAAAGTTCAAGTTAGTCTCTCCTACAAAAATTTATACACATACTGTTATGTGACCCTAGTTGCTCTCCCTGTACTGTGACAGCACACTCCTCCTTTCCACCCCGGATTTCCCGTGTCCATTCAACCAGATCCTGACCCTCTCTGCCTTCTCATCTCACCTCCGGACAGGAGCTGCCCATTTAGTCTCATGGATCTACTTGAGCTAAGAAGGACACTCTTCCTAAGCATCATTTTATGTCCCATAGTCCAGTCTAATCTTTATCTGAAGAGTTGGCCTCAGGAATGGTTTTAGTTTTGTGCTAACAGAGAGTCCGGACCATGCCTTCTGGGGTCCCTCCAGTCTCAGTCAAACCATTAAGTCTGGTCTTTTTACTGGAATTTGAGTTCTGCACCCCACCTTTCTCCTGCTCTGTCAGGGACTCTCTGTTGTGTTGCCTGTCAGGACAGTCATTGGTGGTAGCTGGGCACCATCTAGTTCTTCTGGTCTCTGGCTGAGGGGGTCTGTGGTTTATGTGGCCCTTTCTGTCTCTTATAACCAGAAAGGATACGAGTGTGGAGACACATCAGGCAATCTCTGGGAGAGGTGCTGCACAAGGCCTCCATTTTCCCCAGGCGCGTGCATAATGTTCTTACCAATCCTGGAAGCCCCAAAAAGTGAGTTCCAAGGCCCAGGGTCCTCTAGTCATCGGGACTCAGTGTCTATGCAGGGCTGACTGCGTCGTTCCCCCGTCCTTCCTGACATTAGTTCACCAGGTGTGGGGTCTGTGTAGCCCCTGCTTGCCTGGCGATTTTAGAAAAACAAAGAGCACCTGAATTGCTCAGGCCGTTTTCAAAAACCGTAGACAAAAAGGCAAATTTAGTTCTTTGCTCCACAACACCCATGACGCCATCATCTAATTCCCCTCCTTAGTGTCTCCATTTTAAGGGAGTTTTGTTAAACCCTGCAAAATTTCTCCTACAATGCAATCCTTAGTCTCTAGAAATAGGGATTATTGGAACCAATTCCAGTCAATGGTCAGTTTATTGTTTCGATCAGTTTGCTGTTAACTCCTTTTTACATGGGGTAGATTTGTTATTGGGTATAACTTATTAATACTTGGGAGCCCTGGTGGCGCAGTGGTTAAGAGCTCGGCTGCTATCCCAAGGACGGGCAGTTAGAATCCACCAGCTGCTCCTTGGATACCCTGTAGGGGGGGTTCTCTCTCCTGTGGGGTCCCTCTGAGTCGGAATCTACTTGATGGCTACAGGTTTATTAATACTTGAGACAGGAGAAGGTAAAATATATTCCCCCAAGGTTACCTTTTACTTCAGACAGATACCTCAAAAAGAACCCTTTTAATGTTTGGTTTGTGGGTGAAGTTATCTAAAATAGTGAAGTTCACCACGGAGCGCGTACCTATAAAGGAAAGACTCTGTTAACTGAGAAATCATATTCATTCCAAACTATTTTGCCAGCTGGCATTTTCAAAATAAAATCTTTATCAAACACAAAACCAATTTCCTAGTCCTTGTGTTCCAGTGCTTTGTACTTCATTTCTTCAACTTGATTTAATTGTTCTGGCTCTTACTTTACATCAAGCTTAAGGAAGCCATTTTACAGTGAACAAGTGAAAGCTAGTATAAGCTAGAAAAGCCCCTCTGTGTGTGGGGTGTGGGGAGAGGGGAGTGCTTAACTCCAGAATAAGTTACTTGAATTTGCTGTGAAAAATAAATGGTAGGTAGACCGTTTGTGGTGGAGAGCTGGCCTAAGGTCAGGGGGAGAGTGCTCTCCTTTGGGAGAGGAGAGTGGGATGGCAGGCCCATTTGTCTGTTATCTGGTAATGGCCTAGTAAGAAAATCAGAACAAAATGCCAAACAGGGAACCTCTAAACTCAATGGGAGGAGCCGTGGTGGCACAATCATTAAGCACTCAGCTGCTAACCGAAAGGGAAAGGTCAGAGGTTCGAACCCACCAGCTGCTCTATGGCAGACAAGACTTGGCAATCTGCTCCAGTAAAGATTTCAGTCTAGGAAACCCTATGGGGCTGTTCTACTCTGTCGGATAGGATTGTTATTAGTCAGAATTGACTTGATGGCACGCAGCAACAATAGAACTTAATGGAAAGTCTCTGGTTGGTACAAACGGTTAACGCGCTCAGCTGCAAACTGAAAGGTTAGAGGTTTGAGTCTTCCCAGAGGTTAATATGCCAGGTACTCTACTAGGGGCTGGGGACACACAGATTATCTCTTAGAGTAGTTAGGGAGACAGTCTGGGGAAAACAGCCACCAACCAACCAATTGCCATTGAGTCAGTTCCAATTCATGGCGACCCCACATGTGTCAGAGTAGAACCGTGCTCCGTAGGGTTTTCAGTGGCTGAGTTTTTGGAAGTAGATCACCAGGCCTTTTTTTTGAGACACCTCTGGGTGGACTTGAACCTTTAACCTTTCACTCAGCAGCCAACAACAGCAACAATTAAAAGAAAACAAAGCAGCTTGAGTGTTGAGTTAGGAGGTTGTGCAGAGTCCTTGGGAGATAGCAAAATGGTAACAGTTCAGTGGTGTTTGACGAAGGATTCGGCTGTCTCGCCCTGCTGGCCTCCACGTTCACATCTGTACCCTCCAGCTGTTCAGGCTGCTGTTTCATCAAGCTTTTGGCTACCCTCAAACCTACTACACTGTCAGATTTAAAGAATTTTGGTTTCTGTCTGCAGAAATCTTAACTACTCTTCAAAATTGAGATTGACCGGCATGGTTTATGACAACTTGGAATGGACCTCTGTTGTAGGGTTGCAACTGTTGGGTGGTGCCACTTAGGTTTCATGCTCTTGTTTTCCTTTACAGACAAACAATCTCGAGCTGCTTCTAAAAGTCTGTTACCTGTTAAGTCCAAAGAAGTGGATGTTACCAGACTCTTTCATTCAGGCGGTTCAGAGAACGATGGTACAAAAATCGCCAAACCAAGACGAGAGAATGGGTAAGAGTCAGATCCTTGGTATCTAATTAGACCATCTTGCTGGAAATTGCTCAGTACCAAGAATTAGAAAGGAGCACGAGCCATCTCAGCAAGTGAGTGGCTTGTGGTCTGTGACCTAGAGCAGCCCAGCACCACCAAGTTGTTTGTCGGAGCCCTCCATGCTGATCTGTTCTGAAGAGGCACAGCAGGCCTCACTCCTTGCTCTGAGTGTACAAATGGCAGTACTGTGGTCAAACTCCAGCCCTAAGTGATAATTTATGGGACGTGGGGACTAGTTAGTAACTTAGCTTGCTGGTCTGAGCACAGCCCAGCCCAGCCCTGTTGTGTGTGTCTCCCAGCACAGCTGTCAGTTCCCGCGTGAGTAAGGCTGACATGAGAGAGCCACGCCATCTTGAGCAGGAGTAGGTCTGTCAGGTTGGTGGTTGGGGGTGGTCAGGGAAGGCAAGCCTATTCCTTGTTAATAATCTTTTTCAGTAGTCTGTGGTAAAACCAAAGTGCATGGACCCTCAGAGCTTCTCAAGCTTGGGCTGTTTTCTCTGGTTCTTTCCTCAGAAACTCAGGCCCTTTGTTCTGCCTTGTTGACAACACACATAACAATAGTACTGTGGTTTTCTGATCGGTATCTTTGTTTTTGCTTCTCTAGGCAGATGAAAGCTGCAGACCTTGCCCTTAGGAAGAACGTCAGAAAGAGGTGAGCCAGCAGCAGGGGAAGTGAAACTCGGCCACTGTTGTACGGTACTGGGGCTCAGTCCTCGTACTGGGGCTCAGTCCTCCTTGTGCATCAGAATCACTCATGGTGCTGGTTTAATGTGCTGCAGTCTGGGTTCCGGATGGGAGTTTCTGGGATGAGGCAGCAGGTCCGAGAACCACCGTCGGGGCAGGGATCAGTGATGCTGCTGTCTCGAGTAGCAGACGAGCCTGTTGGGCTCCCTGTCAGGTCCGCTGCCGATTCAGAGTCTAACCGAGCTGTGCCGTCAGCAGGAGCGGGAAGCCTTCATGATCAGAGGGGCTCTGTGTGGTTGGTGATCTGCCCTATGGGTCCACGTAGAACTCCTCCGTAGGGTTTTCACGGCTGTGACCTTTGGAAGCTGATCGCCCAGCCTTTCTTCTAAGGTCCTTCTGGGCGGGTTCGAACTGCCGATATTTTGGTTAGTAGTCGGACATTTAACCGGTTCCACCTCTCAGGGATATTACTTATGAAATGTTTTGTATGTGGCAGTAGCTGTGTTAGAATTGTGTTGCATTCTCTCATTTATGCTTCATAATAATATGAGACATGGGTGTTAATCCTAATTCTGGAAATGAGGAAACAGCTTCAGAGAGGATATGCAACCCACTGAAAGTCATATGCCGCTATGTGGTGAAGCTGGGATTTGAACCCGTTTGTGTAACTCTGTGGCCCATGGTCTTAACCCCTCTACCTCTTCAGATAAGTATGATTGTTATTACAGCTACAAACCGTTGAGTAAGCAGAAATCAGAGCAGGAGCTCAAGGATAAGAACCAGCTCTTGGAGGCAGTCAACAAGCAGTTGCACCTGAAGTTGACTGAAACTCAGGTAAGAGGCACACCAGACGTCTGCCGTCAGCTGCCACAAGGCAATGATGTGGAATCCTGAGGCCTGAGCTTCTGGGTGGGAACAATGCCCAGGCCCCCGAGGTTGGAAGTAGGGACACCAGGCTTGTGCTGTGGCTCTCCAAGGGCAAGGGTAGCAAAGACCACCCCTGGGGAGTGGGACAGGCCTGATCTGTCTGTGTGGCACCCCAACAGGGAGAGCTGAAGGGCCTGACTCTGAAGGTGGAGCTGCTGGAGAAGTTTCAGGACAATTGTTTGGCAATTTTGGAGAGTAAAGGCATCCACCCAGGTGAGAGACAGCACCCAGCCGGCTTCCAGGGAATCAGTGCAACCTTCCTGGGTTGACTCCAGACTGTTGACTCTCCAGCACCTAGCATGACATCAGCTGACTCGGTGGGGCCAGGGGTTGCTCAGCAAAGCCCTAAAGATTTTGGAAGCATCTTTTGTTCAGCTGCTTTCTCCCTCGTGATGTTAATTTTGTCTAACAGAACTCTGGGGAATTGTGGAGGGAGAGACTTATCTTTTCCTTACCTGAGCATGTAATGCCATTCACGTGGTGCCAGCAGGTATGACCATTCACAATAGACCGCAAGACATTTTATTTCTTTTAAGGGAGAGAGCACCCTGGTAAGAAAACGGGAGACATGCTGCTGTGTCAAGGGTTCCTAAACCTGGCTAACCATCCAAATCACTGTGGTTAAATGTGGCCCCTGTCCTGACCCTGTCCCTGGAGAGCAGAGTCTGTAGTGAAGAAGAGAGCAGAAGAAGGAATTGCTCACAGTCTAAGGGGTGCCTTGGACTGAGTTGAGGAAGGAGCCTGGGAATGCCCAGGGAAGGGGCCCAGGCCTCTTTGAATGAAGACACGTTGACTTTGAATGGTACTGGCTAACCTCTGGGTTACATTTTAGGGTATATTCTTTACAGTCACTGTATATACTTTTGTGTACTTTTAATTTACCCATATGCATGCACTACTGTTACCTAATAATAATAATAAGTTTTTTTAAGGCCTGAAAGGCTTTTAAAAGTAGCTTTGTGTATTGTAAACAAAACAAAAATCCAACCTAAACCTTTCCTTTGGAGAAACTCCAGCCTATTTCCACTAAGGTAAGGGGAAAGCAGAATGAATTTTTGTCCATATTCAAACCTAGAGCGGAAGCTCCCCAGGGCAAGTGCGGATGACCCTGCCAGGATGCCAGCTCGGGGACCAGATGCTCAGAGAAGCTTCTCTCGTGAATCCTCCTGTCCACGGAGAGGTTTTTGTTTGGTTGAAGGTGTTGATTTCATTGTGTCTATCAGTTCTAGGAAGCGAGACCCTGGCAGCTCAACAGGAATCCACTACGGATCACACGGACTCTATGGTGAGTGCGTGGGTGGGAGTGGATGGGTGAGGACCAAACGACCGTGGGGCTCTGAATCTGAGAAGGGCTGTGTGCTCAGTATACCCCAAAAAGTGGCCTTTGCTCGTCCACGATAGGCGAAGAGAGTACAGGGCTGTGTACTCTCCAAATAGCACATTGTACTTGGAAGTTGGCTTTGTGCTTACAAGCATGGAGTGAGTCTGAGTTGAATGTGTGCCCCTACTTTAAAGCAAATAATAAGATGAACCTGTATAAAGAGCTTTCTGCTTTCTCCATTCTGCACTTCACCACATTTCTCCCCTTATTCCCTTGCTGAGAACTATCTGATACAAAGATGCAGCTGGAGTTAAGTTTGGGTTCTTGGCTTCTTTTTGATTTCTTCCCCGAAGTAGGCAGGTAACTGGGCTTAGAGTCTTTTGAGCTTCTGTGGTCTCCTCCCCAGGAAGGGCGATCATCATATTGGAATCATAGAACAGCAGAGAGGGATGCCTTCCCCAGCCGCCCAGGCTGTCCATCTCCCTCCGGTGGTTACTGCATCTTGTTCACGCCGGCTTGCAGCACAGAGCATGTCACAGTACAGTGACCAGGTGGTCCTGTGGCCGAACTTCCTCAAGCGTTCTCTCCCAGTTTAGTGCCTGGTATGGGTGGTAGATGATCAGTAAATGATTGAATGGATGGAAGCGATGTCCATATAATTCAATCTCCTTTTCTATGAAAAGATGAAACAAAAGTTTGCATGTTCCAGTAAAGATTTGTTGCTGCATTGTCCTTTCCTTTTAGCTGCTGTTGGAGACTTTGCAAGATGAGCTGAAGCTCTTTAATGACACTGCCAGAAAGCAGATGGAAGAGTTACAGGTGAGAGGCAGACATCACTCTGAGGCAGAAGTACCATTTTCTACAACAATATGTGGATTTATGGAGGACTCTTTCTCTTTCTCTTTAATAATTTTTATTTTGGAATAATTTTAAATTTGTGGAAGAGTTGCAAAGCTACCAAGAGACTTCAGCTCTCCTACTGTTAACATACTATCATGGTATCTTTGTCAAAACCCAACCAACATGGGTACGTTAGTTTTCACTCAAGTCCAGAAATCATTTGGATTTCACCAGTTTTTCCACTAATCTCCTTTTTCTGTTCTGGAGGACTCTTTCTTGGAGATGTTAACATCTCCGGGGTGTGCAGCGATGTGCAAAACACTAGATTGCTCAGAATGAAGAGCTGGGACCTATGTGAAATCTGGGCTGTGGAAACGTCATAGTGCATACTTCAAGGAGGAATCCTGTAGTAAGACATCCAGATTCTTGGGTCTGGACTGCTTGGACGAATCATTGGATACTGTACTGAATCCTGTAGGATTCCGTTGCTCCGGGTTAGATTTAGGAGTCTATAGGATAGAGACACAATTCCCCAAAACAGCACAGATAAACACATCTAAGATAGAAAATAATAGTATCTGAGTATTCCAATGGTCTTCCTCGATGGAATAGAAGCATAATGTTCTTCTGTGGTGGTGCTGAGTTTTGTTTTGTTTTAGTTTGTTTTTCTTAATGTCGTACCATGCAGGCCTTAAAGGTAAAGTTGAAGACGAAAGAAGAAGAAAGGATCCGGTTCCTAGAACAGCAAAACATATGTAACAATCAAGTAAATGATTTCACAACTGCCCTTAAAGAAATGGAGCAGCTATTAGAAATGTGATAAAAAAGGAAGTGGCCAGATGGCTCCCTGTTGGGGACAAACTCTCCGAGGAAGCCACTTAGGATATGTGCTTCTTGGCCATGATCTAGGACTCCCCATCCCCTGCGTGAAAACAGCTTCTGCAGTAGGATTAAGGACAGGCTTATGCTGGAGTGGCGGTTCCACCTTTAAGCAAATGTTCCCAGCATTCAGATTGATCAGCTCTCCTGAGCCTCATACGGAGACCCTTGAGGCCTACAGAAGGGGGACCTGGAGGCCTGGATCAACCTCTGAGGCAGCAAAACAGCACACCATTAGAACTGGGAGACTAAACAGCCACAGCCAGAGGACCTAAAAGATCACATTCTCATTTTCGGGAAGAGAACCTCACGCATACAGTGGAGCACAGGTGTTCCACAGGAGACATCATTGAGGAGCCATGCTGTCTCCTTCTAACCTAGAACACGTTCTGTCCCATCCCGGTTGGGCTTCTGTACCTCACTGTCAATCTATGAACTTGAAGTTGCTTGAAATGGTTGGCTTAATAAATGGGGTGAAGGTACAGTAATGACACCTGAAGCAGTATACCTTGGAGCTTTAGATCTAAGTCACTTCTGTTTTTTTTAAGGGTACTACTTTTAAAATAAATATTTCTATAAATATTCTGACTGTAACAACAAGGAATGAAAAAGCATTTTAACCTAAATGTGCCCACTGAACACTCTTGAACTGATCTAGTTAACAAGTTCAAGGCTCTGGCTCAACACAACATTTCTCTTCCACTCATTAAGTGGTCTGTGGCCAGCCCCTGTCTTCCAGGAGGTCCCAGCTAGTCTTTTGAGGATGCTTCCTATTTGCAGCAGAAGGTGCCTGACTCCGTTCACCTGGCTTATGGTCCCTTGCTGCCTGTATTCTCTCTAAACTCTTAAGCATGATTATGTAGTTGCTGTTTGCCTTGTGGAGCTGATCCTGGACCTGGCCCAGGCACAGGATACTTCAGTCAAATGAAGTCCCTGGCCGGCCTCTCACTGATTGAACAAAGGCTCAGCCATATTCCATTTCCTGGTCAAGCTAGACTGGCTTTAGCCATCCCCCTCTTTTCTGCACCTCCCAATTGCATCTTCTTTATGTACCACCACTATCATCATCACCATCCTTCAGCTTTATTGTTCTCCAAGGCTTCCCAGAGCCACCCGTCCAACCAAGTAGCACCACCACCCTCGCTCATGGCTAAAATTCTTGGCTCTCACACACAAACATTCATTGTTTATGTCTCAAGTATTTGAGGGGAAACCCAATTAAATCCCACCAGTGTGCTGGAATATTTTCTTCCACTCATTTTCAGGATATTTACCCAGTGAAAGTTGTCATTGGCATTTTACTTCCTTCTCAGGAGGAGAGGGTGGAAAGCTGAGGTCCTCAGGTTCTCACCCCTTGGCATACCTCCCTAGTTTACTCCTAGGAATGTAACTACTTGAATACCTATTGTTGCTCATCTTTCCCAACGTAGAGACCTGTTCTCACAAGGGAGCCTCACCTGGGTACCCCTTTGCATAGCCTGCAGTATTTGCACACACTCTTGCCCTTTCTCTTGTTCCTCCTTGACCTCTGCTGCTTCATGTGTCTATTGTGCACATGGAGGTGTTCTGGGCACTAATCTGATCTGGAGCCTGAATAAATTTATATATACTACAAATTTAGCAAATACTGATCTGCACCCTCCACTTAGCTAAATGCTATAGGAAATTAAAATGTAGCATGACACTCCTAACCTCAAAGAAGCTTACAGTCTATTTGGGGGAAACAAACATAAAAATGGTGTGGCGGCAGTGTCAGATCTGTAACTCACAAGGGGAAAGGAGAATCAAGATCAACAGTTCAAGGCTGTTAACTATGAGACGGAGGTCAGACATACTTCCTCTCCAACATTTTTACTGATTCTGATAACAGCCATCCCTCTTACAGCACTCTCTGCTGGGTTTGATAATTCGTTGGCAATGGCCACACATGACTCACAGACAATACCCTATGGAGTTTATTAGGGAAGTTGCAGGTTACACTCAGGATACTGTTCTTTGATCAGGAGAGCTCAGCCAAGCCCCAGGGCAGGCATGTCGCCTCACCTCTTCCCTGCTCAGGCAAGTGTTAGAAAGCTCTTTGATGCCTACAGTGCGTTGGTTGGTTGGATGGACGGATCTCTTTTGTGTGGCCTTTCTCACCAAGGTCTTGTAACTCCCACCCAAGTGATTGGGTGGGACTGTGCAAATAGGGTAACTGTCATAAAAGGGATTGGTCAGTTTTGCCTTAAAAATAGAGCCAATTCCAGAGCAGAGACAGGATCCTACCACCACAAGGGAAGAACAGCCAGGAGTGGAGAGCTTGTCCTTTGGACCCAGGATGCCTGTGCTGAGAAGCTTCTGGAACCAGAAGACAAAGAACTCGAGAAGCGGTGGCAGAGAAATGACAGCAGATGGCGTGGTGGGCTTCCTGGCCCACAGAGCAAGAAACTGAGTGCCTTTGGACAGGAGCCTTGCTGGTGGAGTAAGGTGCCTATGGGCACTTATTGGCAGAGCTAAAAGAGCTTTGTAACTTGCCCAAGCAGGGCAGAGGCTAGGGCCAGAGAGGCATCCCTGCCAGCACTGCTGGGAAGAGGCTGTCTTGAACCTGCGTTGTAACCTGTTACTTCCCTAATAAGCTCCATAATTGTGAGTATTGTCTATCAGTTCTGGGTGTCCATTGCAATGAATTATTGAACCCAGCAGAGAAGTAGAGAGTGTCGTGGGAAGGACAGTTGGTGTTTGAATTAGTAAAAAGATTGGAAGGTAGAGGCATGTGTGACCTCTGCCTCGTAGGAATCAGCTTTGAGCTATTGATTTTCCTTCCTCCTTGTGAAATTAGAGGACGTCAGACTCTGCTCCCAGGCCATTTTTTTTTTTTTTTATAGTACATCTATTGTTTTATGGCATGGGTTGACAACCCCATGACATGTCAACACTGTCCCTTCTCCACCTTGGTTTCCCTATTACCAGCTTTCCTGTCCCCTCCTGCCTTCTAGTCCTTGCCCTTGGGCTGGTGTGCCCTTTTAGTCCTGTTTTGTCCTATAGGTCTGTCTAATCTTTGGCTGAAAGGTGAACTGCCGGAGTGACTTCATTACTGGGCTAAAAGGGTGACTGGGAGCCATACTCTTGGAGTTCCTCCAGTCTCTGTCAGGCCAGTAAGTCTGTTCTTTTTTTTTTTTTGAGTTAGAATTTTATTCTACATTTTTCTTCTGCTCTGTCCGGGACCCTCTATTGTGAGCCCTGTCAGAGCAGTCAGTGCTGATAGCCAGGCACCATCCAGTTGTACTGGACTCAGTCTGGTGGAGGCCATAGTAGTTGTGGTCTATTAGTCCTTTGGACTAATCTTTCCCTTGTGTCTTTAGTTGTCTTCATTTTCCCCTGCCCCTGAAGGGACGAGACAGTGTAATGTCGTAGATGGCCGCTCACAGGCTTTTAAGACCCCAGACACTATTCACCAAAGTAGAACGTAGAACATTTTCTTTATAAACTGTGTTATGCCAGTTGAGCTAGATGTTCCTCGAGACCATGGTCCCCACAGCCCTCAGCCCAGCAGTTCAGTCCCTAAGGGAGTTTGGATTTGTCCATGGAGCTTCCATGACTTTACCTTGAACCAGTTGTGCTGGCTTCCCCAGTACTGTGTACTGTCTTACCCTTCACCAAAGTTACCACTTATCTATTGTTTATTTAGTGTTTTTCCACCTCCACCCCTCCCCACCCTCATAACCATCAAAGATTGTTTCTTTTCGTGTTTCCTTTCCATGAGTTTTTATAGTAGTGGTCTCATACAATATTTGCCCTTTTGTTTTTTTGTTTTGTTTTTTAATTTTTTTATTGTACTTTAGGTGAAGGTTTACAGAACAAATAGTTTCTCATTACACAGTCAGTACGCATATTTTGTGACGTTGGTTAACAACCCCACAACTGTCAACACTCTCCCTTCTCGACCTTGGAGGACCTTTTTTCTTTTTTGGTGAAAATATACATAGCCAAAGATATACCATTTCAAAAATTTCTACATGTATAATTCAGTGACATCTATTACGTTCTTCTAGTTGTGCTGATATTCTCACTATCCTTTTCCAAATTATTCCATCACCGTTATCTTCAACTCACTGCCCCCTAGGATTCCCATCAAAAGCTTTTGAGTTGCTGTTGTCAATTTGATCTCACGTAGATAATTCTTTTTTATTTTGTACTTTAGATGAAGGTTTCCAGAACAGTTTCTCATTAAACAGTACACATCTTGCCCTATGA